GGAATAACAATTGTTAAATTTTGGCCCTAACCCTATTCATATTTCTTAAATCGTGTCACAATTTTGGATCGAATTTAATTAACTTTCCTAAAAGTTACAAAGGGATGGCAAATTGGCGGCAAGTTGTTTTTTTTTTAGTTTATTAAAGGCTTAATCTAAAAGTAAATGTTCCAATAAGACATCTGTTAACTTAATGAGAATGAAAATATAGTAAAACTGTGCTTAGAATCTTTCCTTTCTTGATCTATCTACCTTTCCTTTGCAGTTGTTTTGTTGGGTGCATGACTTTGAATTAATTAGATATTTGTTTCGGTGAATTGTTTTGGATTACATACGTACGTATATTTCCCGCGCTAATTGTCCGTCACAACAAAACAAAGGTTTGGCCATTAACAGCAGCTACGTGCAAACCTCAAATATTTTGAATCATAAATTCGCAAAGCGTGCAATTTGTTGATATACGTTAAACGGCAGATAAATAATCAACGTTGCCCTATACAGTCTGAATTTTAATGATGACAAAATTGGATATAATAATAAATATTTAGTTAACAATAAAAACTAATTAAACTCTTATTTTATGTCTATTTAAATAACGTCAATATAAAATACATATTGGAGATAAATACGTAACATGTAAATGACGTTAACTTGGCAATTGATACTAAATAATCAAACAATTAATTATATAGTCAGAAGTAAGTAACACCTAAATAAACATATAAAGAACAATAGTTTGAGGCCGCGCTGTGCGAATGAATACTGAATATCGTAAAACTGCTTGTTTTACGGTTACTTGAGCATCGTCTCTTCCGGAAACTGAGTCTTAATTGCTATAATCCATGGAATTATTTCTTACGTTAATGAACGAGTATAATATTAGTATCACTGAACTTTTTATATGGATAGGCTATAAGCCGGGATGTTATGTGCCTAATTGATTTCCGCCATATTGGCGCATTTGGTTTGTAGCGGTGGTGAGGATTCGAACTAATAATATAGATATAATTATCTATCAATAACATCAACAAGTGTAGGCAGAGGTTACAATTTTACCTACCGTATCTGATAATGTCACCGTCATATTGTATTGTCAGTTTATAATCTCACTAGCCATAAAACAAACGGAGCTATTACTGCACATATTCTACCCAGAAATACGGAACTTATGAAAAACATTTAAATTATATTAAATATAATACGACGTAAACTATGTTTTATATATTTTGCATAAATATGACAAGAATAAAAATATATTTTTTGATATTTATATTCTTGTCAGTTCATACTGACACAGTTACAGGTTGATGCGAGATATAAAATATATCGCCTGTTTTATTGACATATATTGTTGTCTCTGTTTTTTCCAGGAGAAAGTAAGGGATAACAATACGTCTGTGAGTGCCACTTCAGTCGACTCAAAGTAAGAGAGTATAAAAGTTCAATGGATTACACTTTGTTGACATTATACTTCCTTATTTACTTTACATAAGCTCAAAATATATTAAGATAAGTATAAACTGTTATTGATAACATTTAGGAAGAAATAAAGTAACAATTGTTTTCTATCTCAATCATTTGCAATTTTTTTATTAGATTTTTTCACGTCAAAAATTCAGGAAGGAAAATACACAAAATGGCTTTCAAAAAATCACAATTTTTTTTCTCATAACGGTTTATTAAAAACACTATGTCTGCGCGGTATTAAAAAAAATAAGAAGCCTATGTGTTCTTCCAGACTATTTTCTACATCTATGTCAAATTTCAGCAAGATGCGTTGAGCCGTTCCGGAGATATTTTCAAACAAACATCCATCCATCCATTCATCTAAGCAATCGCATTTATAATATTAGTAATAAATTCTTAAAACTTAACTTAACTATCGAAATCACTGGTTCACAGTTAACATAAAAGCTTAAAAACGCGTAAACTAACATAATAATTAGCTTTTTTACGCAAGATTAGAGTTAGGTCAGTCAAGGTCAAGGCAGCGTGGTCCCTGGCCCCATTGGAAACCAGCTCACCTCAGCATTTCGCTGGGGTCAATAGAAATAATTGATAGACCTCTTAATTATGCGCATATTTTAACAAATTTTTGTTATCGTATCAAGATGAGTTAGTTCAATGAAATGTGAACTTGCTTGTATCCTTGTCAGACCATTTTACCCGACTGTCTTGATTACATTATGTCACATTATTTGTCACCTTTAGCTTAAACAGCTTAACTAATATGGCGGATGAGGTATCACACGATTATTTTTAAGGTGTTTTTCAAGTTCCTAATGTTACGAAAGGAAACAGTATTCGATTTCATACTTAAAATATAGCTTAACATCTACTTATGTTAGTTTGTTCTGCGGTTAAACAGTGCAAATATTTATCTAAACAAATTTAGAAAAAGTCTATTAAAAAATTAATAGCAACATTTATACACTAAATTAATTTACATAATTGTGAATTTTTATATAATTCAAGGTCAAGTTAAATAATGACTAACGTGTATATAAAATAATTAATATACGCCGGTAATGGTCAAATATTACGTCGAAATAGTCCTCACAAAAACAGTAATACAGTATATTATATGTTTAAAAAAAATTGTATATGTCTATTCGTGTGTTCTTACAGTACATGATGCTACTGACGGCAGAGTAGATGGTGACATGGTGTCATTTTTGTAGTGTCATCGTGAAGTCTGTAACTCCGAACATGTATCATACAATCAAATTCATTGATGTAAAGTTAACAATAAACCAAGCCTTCCCATTCAAATAGCAGTGTACAATATGTAGGTACTATCGGGGAATATGGTGACATTACATCTCAATAGCGAGTTTTCGCGTTTCGCAAGCATTGGGACGATGACGCAGAAACAAGACGCAGCTTTTAAATATGTCTATGAAAAAGCTCGCTGAATACCCGACTTGTAGATTTTACTATGATGCTTTCATACGCGTAACGCACTGCTATCTAATAGTTTATTTTGGACACGGGCTTGATTTCGTCTCGTTTCAAAGTACTAGATAATTTTCCTGTAAGTGGAACACCGCGAAGGGCATTGACTGTACATCCAAATGAAAGGTCCATAGAGCATTGAATTTCAAGGACATGTCACTGTACAAATACTAAACTGTGCGCATTTCCCGTAGATTAGGAAAAAACATACGAAAATAAACCAATTTTTATTATTAATTTCCATTCAATTGGAAACAACATGGGCTCCTACTAAACATAACTATTATAAGTTAGTTATACTAAAAACACGTGTGTTAAAAATTGTCAAAATATTATAACAGGAAATATGCCATAAGTTGGTTTGTAAATTAAAAAAAAAAGAAAAACGATTACTTTTCGCTTGATATTCATTTCTTTCATCGATCTGACGCAGTTAAAATATTTGATGTTCAAAGTTCCAAATGCCTCGCACCATGCGTTTAAATCATTTGACACATTTTATTGGTATTTCATGGTTTTACTATTGACCTTATTTTATAAATCACGGTTCAGATTATGCAATATTTATGATGGAATAAAACATAATTAAGATAACAAAACAAATGTGTTTTCAATATTTTTATATGACACAACTCCTTAGTATGCAAAATTAAAACGACGAGGCTTCTTTCAAACATTTTTATGTTCATAGAAATTTAAACAAAGATTTTAATAATAATTTAAATGTAATCTGTATCGCTAAGGAATCAATGTAGTTAGTTAATAATTTATATTAAATTGCATCGCAGTATTATTTAATATTTTGTTTCTAAATATAATTTTGACATTTTACCTGTTTAGTTTAGTAATCTTACTAATATTAATGCGAATGTTTGGATATATGAATGTTTCTTACAAGGATTCTACAGAACTGCTTCATGGATCTCGCTGAATTTAGTACAGATGTAAAACATAATCTGGAAGAGCACATATGCTACTAATTCGGTTTTTTTTTTTAATTTTGAACGGACGGAGTCACAGGCAACAGCTAGTTATTTATAATATCGTAACTTCAAGGTTAATTGCTAGTCAATGATGCGCTTTACATCTTCTAAAAGAAGAATAATTAACCAACCGTATAACACGTGTGTAACATCCACTGCCACACTCAGAGTGTAGATTTTATAATTAATATACACTTAGGGAATAATTTATCGACCGCTTAACAACTGTAAGTGAGGAAATATATCTTAAATACAGCATTGTACAATTCTGCGCTCTTTGTACCCTTTAATAATTTGCGTAATTATGAAAAAAAATTATAAAAATCTTAGTTAGAATGCAAATTTCATGCTAATTTTTTTTTTTGTGTCCGAAATATGCATTTTAAACCGGATAAGACGGAGTTAACAATCAAAGGTCCGAAAAATATAATTAAAAACCCTGACGTATTTGTGCAGATTTTAAGTATGATAAAAAAATTCTATAACTACACTAATAGCGTTTTTTCCAAATTATGTTTACACGATTATTATAAACGTACGTTTCCACTGTCGATACACTTGTATAAAATATCTATCATTTTATTGTCTACAACCTAAGGGAGTAGACTAAGTTTACAGATTTCATATGGGGCATTTGTCCTCTGCTTTCGCTTGGTTTTAACGTTGTTGTCGTAAAAACTATCATCGGTCTTACTTATGTTAGCCTAGATCTAGATCTAGGGCGGCTAGTAGTAAAAAATCGTTTATGAGGATCTATAGGGATTGTCATAAAACTTAGTTATACAAATCAACTCATCGGAAGTTTTTATTACAGGTTACTAACTAGGTAACTACAGGTAAATCTTTACGTTACTTCTAGGTGACTGTTTTAATCGGATGGGCAAATGGATGGTAACTATAATGGTTTCCTCTCAACCAAAAGAACTGGTATTAAACAATAAAACCACGATTGGCGAGAAATCTTCCGCCGCCGTGTGACGTCATATTTATAATTCCAAATTTGAAACCTGCGCGTGCGCAACCGGCGCCCGGCGCGACGGTTCATCTTGTGTTGTTGCAGTGTCGTGTGTCAGTCGGTGCGCACAGGCCGAGGGTCGTGGACGTGTACGACCTTTTACTATTAAATGTTACGCGAGTTTGTATTTTAAAATAATATCATTGAAAATTATAATATTGTGCACAGTGAAGTGAAAACAGCCGCCTTTCAAAAGACGTTCATTGTTGTAAGTTTTGTCAAATAAAAGTTCTTATAATTTGGAGCTGGCTTAATTAATATTACACAATTTAATAATTCTATAAATGTTTTTAATTATTCCTTGACATTATACGAGATATACGAGTTAGAAGACAAGAAATTATTCTTTTAATTTTAGATATAAGATAAACAGGTAGTTGCATTTACAGATTTCAAAATATCTGCTGTTTCTATACTGTCCAGTTTCGACTGTGTGTTACGTTACAATTATAATATATAATATTCTCTAAAAGCTTTTATTCTTTAGATGTCTAAACAGCGAAAGATATTAATATCTACCGCGAAAAGCTCTGATAAAGCTTCTCAGCAATATTTTTTTACATTTCTCATACAGATAACGAAACCTTATCTATTAAATTGTACAGCTTTTTGAAAACATGATAATATATCGAATGTGAATTCCCACTTGCAAAATTACACGAAGATTCAATATTATCATTCCCTTTATACGACTAGTATAAGCATGTTCCCGCTTAAAACGATTCCTATCATTAATGTTTCACGTTAATTTTCAATATAGTAAAAACGAATTCCGAACGACCAGGACCGTTTTTCTAAAGACATGCTTAATGATATAGTTATGCCTTAAATAATTTTGACTTTGTGATTATTTGGATTATTCCGTAGTGTAGGCCTCGCGTCCGCTTCTCAAATACCTTTTTTGGTGTCTAGAGAGGGGAGGAAATCTTCGAATGATACCCTGCCTTTTGGGAGTAAGATAGGGTTATGTTATAATACTATTCACTAAACTCCCCTTGTTGGCCAACAACATCCTGGGATCCATGCAGTGCGATCTTCAATGGAACGCACCGAATGGTCCTCGCACCTCAAATACCTACTTTTTTTCGTAATGCATAATTAATTTTGGGATCGGTGATAAGACCAAATTTTGTTTTATGTGTCATTAATGGAATAGAATGGACAAAATATTTTAAAAGTGTGGAAATAAGCGCTTAAAGCAGTTCACATACAAAATATACTCATTTAAATACGAGTACATTTTTGACTTATCATTCATTTATATTGGATTTAAACATAATTATATTTGTACAACATCGTTGAAGTCTTTCAAACGAGCATAGTTTATTTCTGAATTGCATGTATGTTATTATTTATTTCTGTACATAACTTTATATCATATTTATAACGTGTTAAAAAAATTATTGATTAAACTATTGTATAATATTTTGGATTTTATTTGATTGAATCATATAAATAAAATATTATAAATAAAACTTTGTTGAAAAAATATTAATGAATCGAAAGATATTAAAATATTATTCAAAAACGAGTAGTTGTTATAACATTTGTGTTTGTTCGCTTGTGTACTTTATAAGACGTGTTTTATGTCTACATATATAAGTATAATACATAAGAATAACGTAAGATACATTAGCCCAATGAACATTATGTTTACATACTGACGTTATATACAAAATTATAATATTTAGGCAAACAAGTAAATAAATAAGTAAAATAATTCATTATTTTTCTTAAGCTTCCGTATTTATTTACCTGTTTGCCTATTAGATTTAAGAGGTAACATGAACCAAGTTTTTGTCCACCAAAACGATCTGTCTTCCGTTATATCTTTTAAGTAATTCATCCCTCTTTTCTTAGGCCTAGAGTTAATTATCTCGAAATACAATTAATTGTATTTAAATTAGGTTGATAATAAAATGTATAAATTAATATTCCGGTACAGCTGAACAAATTCTACAAGTACTTATGAATTCTTGATTCGCGCAAAACTGGAAACTGAACTTTATCTGTTTCAAATTAAAATAATTTAAACCTTTTCCTTATTTTTTAATTTAATAAGGCTTAATTGTTTTTTTTTTAATACATAATCGTTTCACACGCGTTTAGTACATTATGTAATAATATAATTATATAATATTTTTAATTAATTAGTAATATACACACGATTAGTACTACAAAAACATTGTGAGACAAGTTGATCTTTTGTCTTTAGGGAATTTTGTTTCAAATTTAAAACCTTCGGTCAACTAAAAACAAACATAGATTAATTATAACTTTAAAGTAAATTCAGTTAAGTTATTTATTTAGGTCGCATTATAATTCTGTAGGTAGATTTGTGAGAGACAGTCACGCACTGAGGCAAATGCTCTTTGATGCTATCTTCAACACGCTTTAGTGTTTTGCCGATGCTGTACGCGCTTATTTACATATAATAGAACACATAACGTAATAGTTAGTTTATCTAATAGCTGCCAGATATAAAGTTCAATCCTTGCCTAAAGAAAATAAATTTTTAAAGTACTCTCAGCATTAGTGTCCGTCAAACCGATGTAAAGCTGTAAACAATAAATTACTTAACTAAAAAAAATGATTTACAAGGAGCGAAGTTCTAAGGTAAGAAATTAGACAAAAAACTAAATAAGAACCGCCATTTTTTGTCGGTTAAAAATAAAACAGTTTATCAAAACGTCATTAGCCAATAGTTTAAGGGTACGGGTTTCCGATAACGAGGTCGGGGGTTCGAATCCCGCCATACGACTATTGTAAACCATGTCCTAGCACAAGCATAGAGCTTAGTTGGAATGGTATAAGAAATATTAGTGAATTAACAAAAAATCTACTAATATTTTGTCAAAAAAAAACCACTTTACAATAATATAGTAGCCACCATTTTGGTTCTGATGTTTGTATGATTTGATATAATTTGCCGTGAAGAAATATGTTCACCGATGTAATGGTACAATTTGAGAATTACAGTAAGTCGGTAACAACCGCATGCATATTGACGTCACGAGTAATTGCAACTATTAGTAAGCCGTATTAACAACTGCGAATGCACTGTAATTGAAGAAAATTCATACCTCATGGAAAATTTCTTATTAAAACTACGTAATATATAGAATACAGGGTGTCCGAATTTGTACACATCACAGAGACCTTTGAATAAAATAATAATCGTTTAATCCAACTTAACTGTATTTGAAGTTTGTACGTTAAGGGTTCGAAAGTTTATGACAACTCTAACGTTTCTTCAAATATTTCGAATGGTCTATAAATCCCGCAATACACCTTCAGTTTTAAAGGGTGAAGGTGTGTATATCGCCACCCTCAACCCCCAGCAACAGCCCTAGGGCGCTGAATACGGGGGGGATCCAACGCCTGAGGCTGAAGGTAGGCGTTCCAACATAGTGGGAGCTGCTTCGGCAACTGACGCAGGCGAGGTCGCGGACTACAGCGTAAGCATGTCCGTGGCCTCGCCATGATGCGTAGGAACAGAGGGGTTTAGTGGGTATGCTTCCCATCCTGAAGAGTATCCCACATAACTACCGCGTCCCACCCGGGGCACGGAGTATGCATAAAGCATTCCCCTCTGAAAAAAAAGGTGAAGGTGTGTAGTGGGCTTTACATTCTTTTAATATATGTCACATCGTGGTGTTAATAAATTTCTTGGAAATTGACATAATGACGCTTCGATAATAGATAATTGGTTACAAATTGTTAATAATAAGTTTATAAATAGTTACTAATAAAACTTGAACATCAAATAAAATACTTACACAATACAAATATCTTATTATTTTATCTCACGAATAATGACTTTGACCTTCAGTTGAATTCGTATCTTGTATTTATTTTAATTAATTTATTTCCGACATTTTTCCGCAAATTACAGAAGAGATTTTCCTACAATATAAAATTAAGATAATTTAAGAATTACACAACTGTTTTAATTTTAGTTATCTTTAATAAATTTAATATAATTTGTTTTTACTTTGGCAATGCGCTAAATGTATCTTCTCCAGAATTTAACTGGTTAAAATATTAGTGTCTGGTGCCAAAGATGTCGTCATATCATAGTTCAGCACGAGTTCTTATTCCTAAAACCGCCTGCGACTCCTAATAGCCTATGTGTTCTTCCAGACTTTAGTCTATATGAATGTCAAATTTTATCGAGATCCGTTCATCCATCCTTGAGATAACTTCAAACAAACATCCATCCATCTAAACATTCGCATTTATAATATTAGTAAGATCTATAAATGTTGAATAAGTGATATTGTATTAGTGAATAGCGATTGCGACGGATACGATACGGTGTCGCGTGTCGCAAGATATCCGCCGTGCAAACCGATAGGATAAACATCGCCGCTTGCGTCACTGCGTCACAACTCACTTCAATGCAATAATATACCGAATTATTGTGCACTGGTTATTTATTATGTTCTAAAACTATAAATACATAAATTTAATTATCATGAAGATGTTAGGAATAAGGATTTAAATCTTACACGAGATATTTTTATTTGGAAACTGTATTCCTATAATTAAACTGTTAATTTACTAATATTATAAATTCGAATGTTTGTATGGATGTTTGTTATAAAGTATCTTTGGGATAGTCGTAGAAAATGGTCTGGAAGATCACATAGGATATTAATTAAGTTTTTTTTTAAATCCGCGCGAGAATGCTCACGGGCGACACCTAGTTTTATTATATTGATACGTTTAGGGTTCATATAACAATCTTAAGACTCAGGAAATATTTTAGTATTTAAGAATTTTAATTATTTAATCTACAACATGTGGGTTGATAATTAACATAAAATTGCATTCGTCAGTCAACACGTACACACGTTTTTACGATTTTGGTTTGTTTGTTATAAAGTCACGTATCTTTTAAATCTTTATCCGAGTACAAGATGAAGTTACATCCAGTAGGTTATAATTAACGACAAGGTTACACCTCGAGTTTCTATTGCAATTATGAATGAATTTCAATTATTGACATTTTAATTTTTTTTCCTTTTTTCTATTTGCAGCCAGAAACATAAAATACTTCGTTTAAATAAACAGATTACTAACATATTTATATATAAGTTCATAACCTTTAAAAGTCCTCAAATTTGCCCGCTTTCTGCTACTTTTTGTAAAAGCTTTTTGTTTTTATTTCGTTAGCTGGTAGACCGGTCAGTTACCTTTACGAAG